GTCAATGGTCATATATTTATATATCGCGCCTTCCACAGAAAAACCGCCTCAAGGGATCTATATGTGTTCTAATAGGACAACACTTGGTAGGATGGTGCTTTAAAGTAGCAGGACTTACTCTTATATCAGTCAATATTTAAACTTTGGTAGGGTTTGGATTTAGAGTAGGAATTATATGTTTTGATCTTATATTCAGCAAGTTATTTGCACTAGTAGGTATTAACACGAGTAGGATTTAATTTTAATAGGTATTAATCAAACCAATTCCTTGTGTAACCAAATTATTATTTTATTATCACTATTATAGGAGTCTTACATGGGAGCTGGGTGCGACACGTTTGCTCATGGATTGGGTGGTATTAACAAATCTAAAGAATATAAACCGCAGCAATCGTATCAATTTTAAAAGAGCCCAGAACATTAATATTTCTGAGTGCTCTGGTCCAGTCTCTGTGGAGTAGATAATTGACAAGAAGACACTTAGGAAGTACAAAATTTTAGGAAATGCTATACAAATGCTCATTATAACAGTGGGCCATAGCCTCAGCAGAGTACAGTATTATTATTATTCATTTTATTAATCATAAATTGTGGGAGACGCAAACGTGCAGTGAGGCTCAATGATTTTTTTTCTGTGGGGCAGGGGCGGATCCAGGATTTGAAAGAGGGGGGTTCATTTTCCCAAAACCCAAAAATGAAAGGGGATCCGGGGTCCTCCCCCGGGAAAATTTTGATTCCTAGATGGCCGGAAATATGAGCTTTCCCGACTTCTGAGGTGTCTTTTAATGACCTTTAATTTCTTCAAAATTCAAGGTTTTACCCCTCTTAAAAAAGGTCAGCTGATTTTATTTCATTCTTAGGCCTATACCAAAGAAAATAAATCAAAAATATAGTCAATATATTATTAGGCCTATATCATACCAAGTCTCACGCATCCGGCGTGAACCTCACGTTTTTCGAACAAACCTCAAGCTCAAGCCACTCCTCTAAAATCTTACGCTTTTCCACTAATCTCAAGCTTTATTTGATTAAACCCAAACTTTTTATCGAATATTTTATCAGGCCCAGATCATCAAAAATTCTATCGTTCTTGTTATAGCTACTCATTTTTAAGGTTTAATTTCAGCACTAGAGATATTCAGAGTACCCAGAGAGCATCTAAGCCTAACATTTTTCAGGGCCCTTGGACGGGCCCTCGACTCACATCAATTGGGTTATTTCCTGTTAAATCTCAAGCCTCTAGCTATCTTCAACTTGGCATGTATTCTATATTCCAACATTATTGAGTAGTTGGATTCTTTCTTCCATAGATCGATGAACTGATAGGCCTGAAGAATAAACTTTCGTACATAATTATTACGACGTCGAGCCAAACAGTGTTTCTAATGTATTTAATTGAATGCTGGACTAAGC